TCGCAAGTTCAGTGACGCAGGTAGTGACGATTCTCTCCGGCCAATCCGTGATCAGCAGAGTTTACACGTCACGTTTTGGTAACGGTACGGTTCACTTGGAACCCCAACCGAAGTGGTACTAAAAAAAGTACCAGGTACCAGGTACTGTACCCAGTGGAAAACCCCCCAAAAGTGAACCGTACTGAGCCGTACCGTGCTGTACCATGCAGTGGAAAAGCGCCATAAGTGAACCGACCATGTCACCTCGCAGGCACCGTAGACGTCCTGAAAAGTGAAGCCAAAACATTTTGATCGCCTTCTGGTGGCTGACTGCAGTATAGATCATAAACCCCTCCTTCTCCATGTAAACAAATGGAACGTGAGCTGAACTAAATAAACAAATTACACTTCAAATTAATTTTTCCAAAAGATGGTTTCCATCTTTTTTTTTTTTCATCCGTGCAGCTTTCAGTGGGAGGAACTGTAGCATAAACAGGAGTGCAATTTGAAGTGTTCGTGCTGCTAGAGGGTATGAGTTAGAGCAGTGGTTTTCAACTTGTAACTTGACCCCTGTACACTTGTTGACCCCTTAATCAACCCATAAACCTAGCCATACCACCAAACCTGTCCCTAACTCTACCCGTATCACACCTCAACATCAGCAAAGGTGTAGTGCATTAACAAAAGCTTTTAATCATTGTAAAACATCTGTTAAAATCATTTGTAGATTTTCAAGATGTGCATGATCATATGAATTAGAAGTTTAATGACATTTGTAAACATTTTAATTTACATGAAATCTTAATTATTAGGTAATGTTTAAAACATTTATTAGTAAACATTAACAAGCACTTTATTTTACATTTCTAGATATGTGAATACATCTGAACTAATGATCCGTTAAGCATGACATAATGTTTGTTAATTATTTATTAATGAAAGTTATTATAAAGTGTTACCAAAAAAAAAAAAAAACCTCTTGAAACTGTGTTCTCTGGCAATGACAACAGTAAAGCTTTTTTTTTTGTGCATGTTATCCGTTTGCATGTTTAGCTCAATTTGTTTCATGGTTGTTGTTTTCAAATTAATAACACATTGCAATTAAAAATGTTCAGGATGCGGGTTTGATCGCTGTCTTCTCAGTTCTGTGTGTCCCTCATGTCTTAGTTTTTCCCTTCAACCAGCCGCTTATTGGTTTCTCGCCTGTTTTTCGATTTGCACTTGTCACTCGAGCCTGACTCTAGTCTTGCTGTGTCCAGTGCTCCCGTTCTCTGTTGGTTTTGATTGCTTGTCTCAACCCTGCTCTGCCTGTTCCCTCTGACTTATTGCGCTGCTGACGGTCTACCCGCTGCCGACCTCTGCCTGCAGGATTTGGCTTTCCCATTTCCTTAAGAAGTGTCAGCCCAAGTCTCTCGGGGCTTGGTGACCCGTTATGTACATTTTCTGTTTATTCAATACATTACCAGTTTTTTTCAATAAAGACAGTTTACAGTCTTGCTTCTGAGTACTCAGTTGCCAACCCCACACAAATTGCGGTTTCATTTAAAATTGTTGCAGTGGGCTGCGGAAACATATGTGTTTCGTTGTGTGGGCCATGAGTTAAAAAAAGGTTGGGAACCACTGAGTTAGAGACTCCAAAATTGATATGGTTAATATTGAGACTGTGATCGATCTGTATGCCAAATTTCACAACTTTAACCGCAAGCAGTTCTATGTGCTGCCAAAGAGTTCAAGAGTGAAAGAAGAAGAAGAAGAAAACTAATGGCTAGGTGCCTTCACACCTTCAGTGCTTGGCCCCTAATAATAATAACAATAGTCAAAGTTTTTTTTTAGGAGAAAGAGAAAATAAATAAATAAATCGGGAGAGGACAAAACATTTTTAGAAAAAAAAACAAAAAAAAAAAACCTTCTTGCTGCTTCTGTAATCATGGTCACATTCATCATTTATTTCTGATCTATGCTTTTATTGCACAAATTACATCTATATAATTTGCTGTTTTGTTTTATTATTGTGTTTATGCTGTTTTCTGTCATTGCAGGTATAAATATAACACTGCCAGAAGAATGCACCGTAAGTTGAGTTTCTGAAATTGAAGTTTTAGAGTTGGACTTTTAGAGTTTGAGAGTTGCTTTTCTATTTATTGTTGATGGTTACATGCACAAACTTACCTTTGTTTGCTATTAATATCGCAAAACATGATTAAAATCACAGAGTTAGTTTTATTTACTGTATAAAACTCAATTGTGATTTCAGAGTCAGACCCCTGGAGGATGTCTTCAAAATCTTCTTGAGCAGATCGAGAACATCACAGCTCAAGTGCTTCCTTTAAATGTAAGTCTTCAGGAGAAAAATGATAAAATAATCAAATCTAATTTAGATAATATATGACAGACATAGCAGTGCTGTCTCTTTGACTTTTACATGGACAGTAATTGTATTGAACTGCATTTTTCTCATCAATAAATTAGACTGTGACAAACATTTTGAATACGGTCTTCAACGCTTCAGAGAAGATTGTAGAGTCATCATCATCTGCAAGCCCAGCTGAACTAGCCTCCTATGGAAACCGTATGTTAAAAACTAGTGAGAAACTCATCTCTGCATTAGTGAAGCCGACAGACACAAGTGACAGAGTCAGTTTTACTCTTGCTGTTGTAGGTAAGTGGAAACACAATTATTATTGATAATGAAACTCAGATTGCATATGATAACAGTGACTTTATTTAGTTATAATCGGAAAACTATCGAGTTATAAACTTTTATAAGAGAGCAGAAAACACTGCCTGTATTTTTTGTTACTGATGTCAAATGTCAGAATGTTTATGCAAATTCATCTTTCATTTGGTAGAAGCTTATCGGATTAGATGCCGACATGGACAGGTTGTGTCCTGAAAAACCATGAAAAAATAAAATACAAAATTAATCACGGGTTCACTTACAGTGAGAAGTTCATGGTGTGTTGAGACTAGACTTGTGCCGGTTTTCGGTAATGCGATATATCACGGTAATGAATATGCACGATATTGTTATCGTGGGCACTTCTAAATACCGTGAATAATTATATATTACAAGTTATTCAGAATTTTGAATGCATTTTAAGAATACTTTTCCAATCAACTGGTCAAAATGCACAACACCGCTGTATGCTGCGTGAAAGACGCGTGCGCACTCTGATGTAAATAAGCGCGGACGTGAAGCACATGGCGGAACATGTGAGACACGCTCTGGATGAAAGCGCACTTTCACTCTCTGACAGCAGATGGCGCTAAACTGCAGAAATAATAATAATAATTCATTTAAATGAAACCCTGTAAACAAAGCAGCTGCTCTACTTTGTTTCTGAATTGTGTTTAAATGATTTAAACAGCCATTCAGATTTGTGTATTTGCTATGATGTTCATCACAGCGCCAAATACTTAAATATTTAGACTTAATAGGCTATTTATTTTCAAACTTTTTTTACATTTTAATCTGGACTACAACATGCCCTAGATATTGTTTGAAAGTGTTTTGATTCTTTATTGTTCGGTCACACTTTACATTAGGGCTTCATTAGTTAACATTAGTTAATTCATTAGTTAACATAAACTGCCAATGAAAAATTCTTCTGAACATTCATTAATCTTAGGTATTCCAATATTTAATAACATGTTGTTAAAACTGAAAGTTGCAACTGTGTTATTTAATGAGCTAACATGAACTAAGACTTGTATTTTTCTTTAACAAAGATTAATAACTTCTGTAGCAAATGTCGCTATTGCTCATTGTGAATGTTAATGCATTAACTAAGGTTAACTAATGAGGTCTTATTGTAAAGTGATACCTATTGGCCTTTATAGTTCTTTTGCACTTTAATCTGTGTAAAACTTTTAACTTTATAAATTTTTCTGTATTGCTTTATTGCATTTAAATGTTCAGTTATTTTTGTTATAAGAAAAAAGTTATTAAACCTGTTATACTGTATTATGACAGCACTTTTTTAAACTAAATTTCAATACCGTGATAATAACGTATACCGTGATAAAAGCATTAGCATTATATATATATATACTTTAATATATCCGACTTTTAAAATGACTAAACTTATGGTTTCCTTTTGAGCTGTGTGAAACTATATATAAATAATTAAATTCAGTTGATTCCTTTACATAGTTATATATATTTTTTCTTTCTTTCTGCTGCCAAACTTTTGCTGCAGCCAAAGTGTTTATTCCTGCCTTGTAAATGCAATCAAATTTATTAAATTTTTAATAACAACATCTCTTAATCTTCAGCAGAAAAGTGAATTGCGCTGACTCTCGCGAGAAGTGAATCCAAATGACGCTTTGCTGATGCTCTCCACACGTTCCGTGTGATTGGCTGTTTGCTGCACGTATCACACGTTCAGGTGCACACACATGTTAATCACAAACTCTGGTTCAACTCTGAGTTGACAGAGAACGTTTATATCGAGCTTTGTGAGCCCGCTGAACCTGATCTAAACCAGGCTGGCTTTATCGGGTTTTGTCAACTCAAAACTTACTCTGCAACTCTGAGTTTGTTCATCTCGCTTCGTGCTGCAGGCCACCCTGGTGTTAAATGAACACTGCTCTGTCTTCATATGGGAACAAACCAGCAGAGTGTTGAAAGTAACACTGAAGCAGTACTGAAGTTAATAGGGTAATTAAGTGATTAATTGACCCTCTGGTGCCCCTCATTTGGGAGTCACCCTTGTGATCTTCACGGTCAAAAGAGACTGGACACATAAAATGTTACCTTTTTCCCCCCCCAGTAAAATCAATGTAACATGTTTTTGTTCTATAATATTTTTTTATTTTGTATTTTGAGATAATTTCATGGTACTAATTAATATTTATGCAATAATTATGATCAATTTCTTCCCATTGAAAATAATAACAAATTTTAAATATATATATTTTTATATTACATTTCAATTAATGCAGTATTTCATGTTAAAATAGAGACAATGCCTTTAAAATCCAATTTTTGAAGCCTGATTAGTGCAATCTGGTGGGAGTAAAATAAGAAAAACATCTGCAATTCAATGGTTTAGCCCATATATTCCTATATGGCTCTATATAAAAGGCCTATGCATTCTCTAATTGGTTTTTAGACATAAATACTTATTTTTATTAAGTTGTGGGTTTAGATATATATTTAGACATTCTCAAAGACAACTTTTTGTAAAGGTTTAGATTTTTTTTTTTAAATGTTAATTTGAAGCGTCAGTTTTTGAATTATTATTACTACAGCCAAACCTGAACACAGAGAAAGCATTTTGTTACACAAAACATTAAAATTCTTTAAACATATAACAAAAACGAACAGGAATGTTTTATCAGAGCTTAATTATTCTGGGTCTGATCTTATTTCAGTTTTCTTACTCGTTTTGGCTATATAGGTATAGCCATACCAATTCATTTGAGTGTGTATAATTGTGTGTGTGTGTGTTTGTTAGTGGATGTGTCTTGTTTTGCACTCTTGATGTTTTAAAGTGTACCCCTTCCTTGCTGTCCACGTTTTTTACTGCATTGTTGTTGAATTATTGCTTTTATTTGACATATTTTCTGTGTTACAGTCACACCAGTTCATAGGTGTGTGTGTGTGTGTATACGTGTGTGTGTACGCATGTGTGTGAGTGGATGTGTTGGTTTTACACTCTTGATGTTTTAGTTTCACCCCGTCATTGCTGTGTACTTTTTTTCTGCATTGTGGCAGATTTGTAGATTGTAAACACAAAAATTCTCTGAAAAAATTTTTTGATGTTTATAAAATATTAATTTCCTATGCTCGGTCATTTTTGACCGAAGACCACAAGTGTGACTATTTTTTTTTTACAACCACTTAGCCTGCTCAAATCATGCCCTCATTTGTTTTGTGTGTGTCTTCACATTCCAAATGCCATAAAAGTCACCAAGTTTTGTACTATTCCGATGAAGCTGTGATGTTTAAAAATTCAAAACAGAAAATTTTTCATCCAAATTTTTCATCCAAGAGCACCAGAGGGTTAAGTGCTGATTGAGCATTAATGATGAAAACCTGCTGTTAACAAGCAGAATCACTGAAAGAAAGAAAAAAACACAAGAACCAGGTATTTTTAAAACCGCAGCTTTTTCTATGTGGTTTGGCCGTTCGTCTTCACGTAAACACAGTATCCGGTCACTGAAACTGAACCTTTTTGAAAATTCTTGCCAAGATGAAGATTTTCAGAAACTCCAGTTGCTGTGTTGTCGTCTAACCGATGAATCTGGAGATTTTGTTTTGTGATGTCGGAGTGCGAGCTGTTATCTCCTTTATTTGACGTTAGATTGTGCACTGCTATCTCCTTTGTTTACATGAGGCAAGTCTTAGATTGGCCAACATAGCTTTACGGTTAAGGTTATATCGCCACCTGTTGGTTTGGCATGCTTGACAGCACTTCATAGTGTGTTTTTGCATTTTCATGTGGACAAGATTTTTTTTTTAAACAAAGCAGGAAAAACTCAGTTTATAAAAATACCCATGTACGTGTGGACAAGGCCTTAGTTACATGCAAGATCCACAACTACCCCCTTACAACTACAACTGACTTCCAGACACAGCCTTAGATGAAATCAGCTGAAATAAAAGAAGACATTAAATCTCTCAAGATCTCAGCAGAGGATGATTAAACAACTCCACAAACAGCTTTACCAGCTTGTTCAGACTCTCATCTACGGGTGATGTGTTATTGAATTATAGCTCTATAACACTGCAGCATGAGATACAGCACACTGCTAAATATTTGGTCATCTGCAGGTCAAAGGTCAGATCTTGCAGTACACTGTATACTCAAGTGTTCCAGTTCTTAACTTGCTTTGTTTCCAAACCCAAATGTCCTTAAAATCAAAACATCTAAGTACCCTTTTTTTTACATATACATTTATTCAGATAGCAGATTAATTTAAAGAAGACCTGAAGAGTTCAATCTAAATCAGAGATGAAAAACCCAACAATAGTGAATAACTATTGTTATATATATATATGTATATAATGTATATATGGATATATACACTCATCTAGACAGTACATACAATTAAAATAGCACATAACTGCTTGTTTGTGTTTAATCAGAGGGTCAAGTCTTCATGGTTGGACCACAGGTCACCTTAAATAAAATCCTTCGACTTGACACGACAAATTCTTCTGTGGACATTGATCTCATTGGGATCGCCAGGAACAACAATGAAAGTATGTCAAATGTTTTGATTTTTAAAAAATGTGAGAAGATCAAGAACATCCACTAAACCACATTTGCTTATTATTTTGGTTGCTGTTCTTGTTATTGTAACATATAGTATTTACTGTAAGTTTCTTTTTCTGTTTCTGTCACACAGGATCAGCTGCTGTGGCTTTCATGAGCTATGTCACGATGGAGAATCTACTGAAGCCAGACTTCTTCAACACATCAAAAGACACGATTAAAACCATGATGTCCACTGTGATCTCAGCTACTCTTCCCAAAACCACCAACACTAAACTCACCAAACCAGTCAACTTCACCCTGAAACACATCAGAGTGAGAGACTGAAATGTGTTTGTCCAACCTGAGCACTGATGAACATCTGGAAACATCTAATATTCAGTGTTCTGATATTTTCTTCATCTTTTTCAGGAGTTTGATCCCAACGGTTCTCTGTCCTGTGTGTACTGGAATATCAGCGAGTGGATTGTAGATGGTTGTTCTGTTTTAAAGACCAACAGCAGCTACACTGTGTGTTCCTGTGATCATCTGTCCACATTCGCTCTTGTGCAAATCAGTCGCCCACCAGAGGTATGAAAGAGAACGTCAAACCTCCTCAAAAAAATCTGAAGCACTGAATGCACTAGCATAATTCAAATTCAGTCTACAGTAGATGATCAACTCTGACATGTTTTCTCAGAGCGACTCACAGCTGGAGCTGTTGACTTTGGTGTGTGTGATCGTGGGACTGGTGTTCTTCAGTTTGGCCCTGTTGGCTTTTGTCCTTTATAAATGGAGTCCTGTGCGTGATTGGATACATGGTTCCGTTGTGCTGGTTCCTAAAGGTTACAACAGGGAAGAGTGAGTTTTTGTTGTTGTTGTTTATTTGTTTAGAAGGAAATAAAACAGCTCGGGGCTTATGTTACATTTATGCTATCTGATAAAATTACAGTGTAATGTACAAATTAAAAAAAGTTACCTCCTGTAATACTATTTCTACTAGGCTATTTATGGTTTTTGTTTGCTCCTGGATTCTGAGTTTCTTCACTAATGGCATTCATGTGCTGGAGATCCTCTTCCTGATCTTAAACTCTAATTTTTCCTGATTCATTGTGTTGTCAACAATGAGGTCAGACATTTATTCAGTTTACCACCGTATTCCATGAGAAATCCAGACATGTGGTCCTGAGTTCCTGTTCTTATTTTTGTAATCTGTGACTTTTAGAGAAGAATTTCAGAGGCAGTCTGTTACTTTTCCATTTGATGACAGAATGTTCAAATTATCCAACACTTTTTAAACTCCAACTGTCAAAAATTTTAATTTAATCGGACACATATCTGCTGATCTGCTGTCTGTCTGACTGTTTGTCTGCATAACATCCTTTTAAACTCCAAACTTTTAAAACTACTTTAAACTTTTAGGCCCGGCTTTGTCAAGCCAACATTAGAATTTAAAATCTTGATCTCATGAAGTCACTCTTGTCTCATTCTTGTCCAGGTTACGCTGCAGTACACAAAGTGCTTCAGATGTCTCTGCTGTGGACTCAACAAAATCAAAAGTGTCTCAAAAAACACTGAAGACCACAACATCATTTTAAACCTAGAATGCATGAACCAAAAAATTAAAAAATTAAAAAAAATGCATAAAGGGGGTGAAAATGGCCCATATTGGAATAAAAAAGGTGTCCTATTAATGAAATAATTAAAATAATTGATGATACGCAAGTATTTTAATATAGCAAACATGTTTATTAGTCCACTTTTCTATTTGCATTACAAAAGATTACATTTATTCTTTTTAAAATGCTCTTGTACCTTTTTCTACAACTCCAAACTAATTTAGATCTACTGTATATTCCCGACTGAACCTTCACTCCCCACATTTCTCACAGACCATGTAAAAATGATCAGGCAGAGTCAGAAAATTTCACATCAGATTTGCACCTTTCTAAGCATATCTTTTGGGCAGAGTTTGAACCTCTTCCTTTGTTTGGGCCTTCAGCTGTCCTTTGCTGTGGCCTTTATCCTTTATCCCCTTTATGCATTCAAGGGTTCAGGAAATAGAAAGTACCATTATTATACAGGTGATTTTATATAACAGAATCAATGTTTTTGGATGTTTAATGTAATAATGCCAATTCACATTGCAACGACAGACGCAGACCGTGATGTGGACAATCACCAGATTACAGTACCTCACTCCCCAGACGTTCCATGACCCGACAAACATTTGATTCAGCATGTTCAGTCGGCAAAAACAAGAACTGACCAACATCAACAGATGCCGACAGGAGTAACACACTGATCAGACAAATCCAATTAACATTTCTGTTGCCGTCTGTTGGTTCAGTGTAAATTGGCATATAGTATCAGCTTCTTTCTGCAAATGATATTAAAATATGATATACAAGTTTCTTAATATTACGGCTGCCGATACTACTGATGTAAAATAAGTAACTCTATTTTAATTGCACTCAAGATTTTTTGGTGGAGGGCAAAAATATTTTTAGTTTCTTTGTAAATTTTAGTTTTTGTTACTTAATATCACAGCTGAATAAGGAATTAATACTAGTAAAAAAAAAAAAAATACAGCTGTTAAACTACAGTTATATATAACTCTGTAACTGCTTTAATTTGTTTAAAAAAATAATATTTTTTTATTTTGTCAAGCTCAGACAGCTGTTCATTAGATGACAGTTCCTCTGTAAAAACATGTCATGCGAGTGTCTTATTTTATTGCTGTAATACTATTGATGTAAATCTCATAATCTATTTTATTTAGTCTTTTTTTTTACATGTAGGATTTTCTTGGTGGAGGGTAAAAAGCTTTTTTTTTTACAGATTCCTCAGAATAATCAAACTTAAATGATTTCAAGTAAATGTTGCCAAATGGAAAACCTAAAAACTATTTAATGTATGCATGGTAAAGGGAAATTAATTAACATTGTATGGCTTCATCGTTTTTTTTAGTTGCAAAGTTATGAATTTGTAAATCTTGCACAATTTTTTTTTTCTTTATTGAGCTCAGAAAGCTGACTGTTTCTTCTGTAAGGAAAAGGTTTACAGTATATTACTTTATGTATATGCCTCATACAACATATAAATATATTTTTCAGGATGGAGGACCACAGGTCTCTTATGGGTTTTGTTATATACAGTACATTTAAAACTAAACTCTTAAAATAACTAAAAGAACAGCCGATGTCACAATTAAAGTTAATCTTTATTGTCATGTGTCTTGAGGTTTATTTTTTTTAATGACTAGATTTTCCTGTATTATTTTAATGCATTTTTGTTACAAATATCTCAATAAACAAAATAATAAATGATAATAATAACAACTGTATTTGTAAACATGTTTTTTCCCCCATGTCCACAAATGAAAAAAGCTCCATAACAGACTGACCCTGATTTCAGAGGAATACCTCAGTTTGAAATCATGCCATATTCCACAGCATTTCTGTATTTAAACATAGATAACCCATAGAACTGTATGTGCACATTTTCTGTTATTTTTACAACATTAGTCAATAAACAGTGTTTGAGGGATGGATGAGACTCGAAATATCCATTTTATTGAGGAAGTTAAGAGGGGAATGTTGGGAAGCTGAGAGAAAAAAAAAACTATCTAACTATTAACTTTCATAAAAAGTATTTTTCTTGTCTTTAAATGTTGGTTCTTATTTCCTCAAAAACGTTTATAATTGATTTGCGGTCAGATGTAGGGTTGGGAATCAAAAATCGAATCAAATCCTGAAATTGGATACTTAAGGTCAGAAATCTTATATAGATTCCTGTGTGCACATTTTAATATGATTTCAAACCAGTGCCAGTATTAGACTTCTGGCAGCCCTAAGCAAAACTTTGTCCGGGGGACCTTGTCAGTGTGTTCAAAAAGTTCCAAAATGACGCATGACCCCTTAATCTGTTCTTTCAGATCAGTTTAACTGTCAACAAACGGTAATAAAAAAGAAGAATTTGCAAACAATATTACAAATACAATAGCAAAAGATGCAAATGAAATAATGTTGCCTACTATACAGAAATTAAATAATTGAATAGTCGAATGTAAATCAAAAATAAAACACGTAGTCTGTGCATAGTCTTTACTGCATGAATTAAATATACATTGATTCTTATCAAAGATACTAAAGTTATTCAGAGAAGAGCAGTTAATGATTCTCTCATTTTCTTAATGACAGAGACAGCAGTAGGTTTATTAGGCTGCTGTCACTTTAAGACCAAATGCACAGATTTAATATACTGACAATCATTTGATTACTTTTCCCAGGGACGGATTAACGCACGTGCCCAGGGCTCTAGACCAGAGGGGGGCCCAGCCAAAATACCAATTTCAACAGTGCCCCCTCAGATTTTTGAGTCAAGTATATTTTGAATGCAGCTTCAAAAAGACAAAAAATAGTCAAATTATATATATATATATATATATATATATATATATAATTTTGCTATTTTGTTTTATTGCCTTCATGCTGTTTTGTGTCATTGCAGGTATAAATATAACGCTACCAGAAGAATGCAACGTAAGTTGAGTTTCAGAAATTGAAGTTTTAGAGTTGAACTCACAGCTTCTATTAATAATAGTCCAAAGAGCAGTGCAATAATAAGTAGCAGATATTTGAAATATGAATGTGCTTTCCTGTTTATTGCTGATGGTTTTTGTTTACTATTAATATTGCAAAACATGATTAAAATCACAGTCTTATTTACCAAATAAAGATCGACTGTGATTTCAGAGTCAGACCTTTGGAGGATGTTTTCAAAATCTTCTTGAGCAGATCGAGAACATCACACTGCTTCCTTTGAATGTAAGTCCTCAGGAGAAAAATGATAAAATAATCAAATCGGTGTTGGTTACAATAATTGATGTGGCAGTATGGGCTCTGTTGATGTCTTTGTGCAATAACTGTATTTTTTTAAATTAATAAATTAGACTGTGAAAAACATTTTGAATATGGTCTTCAACACTTCAGAGAAGATTTTAGAGTCATCTTCAACAGAAAACCCAACTGAACTAGCCTCCTTTGGAAACCGTGTGTTAAAAGCCAGCAGAGGCGGACAATCCAGGGGTCAGAAAGTAAAAGTCCTGCCATATGTTTATTCCACCCATGAACTCAGCAGCTGATTTCAGCAGAGGAGGAACCAAGTCATTCCTTTCAAGTAATTTCGTTCATGAACGAGAAGATCTCTCGATCTCGTTCAGACTCAAAAGAAACTCGTTCAGTGAAGGGCGTATTCGTTCACTACATTCAACAAATCACATGCTCCGTCACATCTCATACTCGAAGGCTATTGGCTCGAGGTTTAGTCATTCTTCGTCAGGATGAAACAGTCCACAGAGCTACCCGGTTCACTGATCTGCGCATGCGCTGCCAGTAGCGCCGCGCTGCTGTGGAGGGAGGAATTTCAGTGAACGAGAACGATTCGTTCACCTAAAAGATTCGTTCAAAAAGAACAATTCGTTCACGAACGTAACAACACTAGTGTCTAAATAATGCTGGCTTTTAAATATTTAGACTTAAAATTCATTCAATGTAACTATTAGAGTAACACTTTCATTGCATGCTGTAGTTTAACAAGGTCGGTGAATCAAAATCTAAACATAAAATGCACACTTAAAAAAAAAAAAAAAAAAAAACTAGCTTGGATGTAAACAGGTTGGCTCCTGATGATTACCTCATCATTTGAAAACAGCCAACAGCTAATTATTACTAAGCATTAAGCTCACTGCTTTCCAACAACACATGCATTATTACAAAGAGAGATCTAAGAAAAGAAGTCAAGGGTCAAGAGCCCAACTAAAGCAATTTGTGACATTCCTGCTATCTGGTCTAATATACACACAGGCTGTATCAGTTTCATTCGCAAGATTAAAATCTATAATGTATAAGCAGTCAACACCTGAAATAGTATTTTTAAAACACTGGCTCAGTGTGTGGTTCTTGGTTGCTCCTGGATTCTGGGTTTCTTCACTAATGGCAGTAAGGTGCTGGAGATCCTCTTCCTGATCTTGAACTCCCAGCAGGGAACCTTCATCTTCCTGTTCTTATTTTGGTGATATGTGACTTTTAGAGAGGAATGTCAGAGGCAGTTTGTTTAAACTGTTAAGGTAATTGCACACTGAGTCTGAAATTCTCATCCGAAATTTTTGCAGGTTAATAAATAAATACGACCACACGTTGTGTCAATCACGATTACACACTTGCTCCGAAACTTTTGGCCGTCATAAAAAATTCGGATCAGGTTCGATTTCCTGCATTTTCGCATCCATAGCAAGCATGTTGATAGGAGAGGATGACGAATACAAAATACATAAAAAAACGCATACAAAAAATTCGGACTGAGTGTGCAATGACCTTTACTCTTCAATGTCCTTCCTCTGACAGAATTTTCAAAAGACCCAAAACTAATTAAACATTCTCGACAGAGAATGCCTTTGATTTCCACGCTTATAAAACTACAAACAAAATTGTAGGCTCTGGTTTTTCAAGCCAACATCAGATTTTAAAATATTTGTTTCTTTATTTTGTCATTTTCAGTGTCTCCATATATGGAAAAAAGAAAAACATTAATATGTATTTCTAAAAATAGTTTTTTTTTTCTTGTTTATTATTAACAAACTTCTGGTTCTTGAGTTTCAGAGGTTAAATTGATCTCATGAAGTGACTCAGCTCCTCTCGTCTCGTTCTTGTTCAGGTCAGGCAGCAGTACAGGAAGTTCTTCAGATGTCTTTGCTGTGTCAAACAACACTGAGGACCACAGCATCATGTTTAGGAAGTAATACATTCTGCTCAAGTGTCATTAATGTACAGCTGATTTTATATAACAGAATCTGTGTTTTTGATGATACATTTTAGAGTTGTCGCTCTTTTCTACAAATGATAGAAAAACATGTTATTCGAGTGTCTTATTTTATAGCTGTTAATAGTAGGATGACTTGTGCGGAATTATACAGTTGTGCAATATTAACAAATTTATACAATTATTTATTTGTTTGTTGAGCTCAGAAAGTTCCAACTGAATGACCATTTCTTCTGTAAAGGCCCATTTTAGAGTATATTACTTTAAATATTGTACTGTACTTTAAATATTCATATGCCTCATACAAAATACGTAAATAGCAAAATGTATTTGCAGATATGAAAGACACAGGTTTTAGTGAATTTATGCATAAAACTAAACTTAAAAAATAAATAAATAAATGAACAGCTAATGTCTTAAAAGAATCTGTATTTTCACTTGGCTTGAATTTTGTATTAAAACATGAAATGCATTTTGCTTTTGTTCAGATCACATTCAGGATTTCCTGTATTAATTTAATGGTCAGTTTATTAACACATTTTGTAACAAAAATCCATGTAATAGACTGACTAATGATCAATATTCAATCACTGCCAATGTTACAGCAACCATCACAGTCCACATTGAGTTAAAACAGACAAAAAAACTGATAGGGAATTACCTGTGATT